CACACACGCACACATACACTCACACGCACGCACACACACACACGCACACACACGCACACACACGCACACACACACAATCACACGCACAGACACACAAACTTGAACTCGCACAAACCCGCGTGCACACACACACATTTGTGCACACACACAAAGACAAAGATCCCCCACGTAGCCGTGACAGACTGTTGGGGCAAGTGCTGTTAGTAGCGAGTGGCAGCAGCGCCTATGAAGGCTACCGGCACTGTGGCACACGAGGGGGTGGGTGGCCAGCACCACGCCCGGCCGCCTTTGTCTCCCTATGTTGGCGATATTTGCTACACACCGCACCAGGTACTCATTTAAGACTCAGTCGATCTGTAGGGATCTTTGTCTTTGGATGCACCAGTCCCGGCCATGGCAATGTGGAGTTGACGGTGACTGTGTGGGCCGTGTACAGGTCCTGCTGAGCTGCCTGGAGGAGCTGGCAACTCGCTCACACACAGAGGCCGACAGTGGGCAGTGAGTCGCTCACACGCACACACGCACTCGTTCACTCATTCAACCACTCATTCACCAACTCGTTCACCCACTCGTTCACCCATTCGTTCACCCACTCGTTCACCCACTCGTTCACCCACTCGTTCACCCACTCCTTCACTCATTCACTCGTTCACCCACTCGTTCACCCACTCGTTCACTCATTCACCCACTCGTTCAATCATTCACCAACTCGTTCACTCATTCACCCACTTGTTCACTCATTCACCCACTCGTTCATTCATTCACCCACTCGTTCACTCATTCACCCACTCGTTCATTCATTCACCCACTCGTTCACTCATTCACCCACTCGTTCACTCATTCACCCACTCGTTCACTCATTCACCAACTCGTTCACTCATTCACCCACTCATTCACCCACTCGTTCACTAATTCACCCACTCATTCACCCACTCATTCACTCATTCACCCACTCGTTCACTCATTCACCCACTCATTCACTCACTCATTCACCCTCTCGTTCACTCATTCACCCACTCATTTCACCCACTGATTCACTCATTCACCCACTCGTTCACTTATTCACCCACTCAATTCACCCACTCATTCACCCACTCGTTCACTCATTCACCCACTCATTCACTCATTCACCCACCCGTTCACTCATTAACCCACTCAATTCACCCACTCATTCACCCACTCGTTCACTCATTAACCAACTCATTCACTCGTTCACTCATTCACCAACTCGTTCACTCATTCACCCACTAATTCACCCACTCATTCACTCATTCACCCACTCATTCACTCATTCACCCACTCGTTCACTCATTCACCCACTCAATTCACCCACTCATTCACCCACTCGTTCACTCATTAACCAACTCATTCACTCGTTCACTCATTCACCAACTCGTTCACTCATTCACCCACTAATTCACCCACTCATTCACTCACTCATTTAGCCACTAAATCACGCAATTGTTCATCCACTCGTACACTCATTCACTCACTCATATACTCATTCACCCACTCATTCACTCACTCATATACTCATTCACCCACTCATTTACCCACTCGTTCACTCATTCACCCACTCATTCACTCACTCATTTAGCCACTAAATCACGCAATTGTTCATCCACTCGTACACTCATTCACTCACTCATATACTCATTCACCCACTCATTCACTCACTCATATACTCATTCACCCACTCATTTACCCACTCGTTCACTCATTCACCCACTCATTCACTCACTCATTTACCCACTAAATCACGCAATTGTTCATCCACTCGTACACTCATTCACTCACTCATATACTCAATCACCCACTCATTCACCCACTCTTTCACTCATTCACCCACTCATTCACCCACTCATTCACTCACTCATTCACTCACTCATACTCATTTATCCACTCATTCACCCAATTGTTCATCCACTCATTCACACACTCATTCACACACTTATTCACACACTCATTCACACACTCATTCACACACTCATTCATACACTCATTCACACACTAATTCACACACTCATTATATTCATTCACTTAATCCCCCACATTCCCTCGTACATTAATGCAATCATTCACTCTGTCACCCACTTACCGACTCACAAGTATTATTTCACTCATTCATTGTTACCGACTCACTAATTTGCTCATCTATTAACCCAACGCTCTGGCTTATTCATTCAATCCTTGACTTGCTTGCTTACTCATTCACTCGCTAACTCATTCATCCACCCACTCCCTCACTAACTCATTCACGCTCTCACGCACTCGCCGCTCACTCATCCATGCAGTCATGATGATGCTGATGAAGCTGATGGTGATGATGATGATGCTGATACTGATGTTGACGGTGATGATGATGATGGTGATGATGCAGATGATGATGGTGATGATGCTGATGGTAATGATGGTGATGATGGTGATGATGATGGTGATGTTGATGATGCTAATGATGATGGTGATGATGCAGATGATGCTGATAATGGTGATAATGATGGTGATGATGCAGCTGATGCTGATAATGGTGATGATGATGGTGATGATGCAGCTGATGCTGATAATGGTGATGATGCTGATGATGATGATGATACTGATGATGCTACTGATACTGCTGATGATGCTGTCTAGTTTTGCGGCTGACATTCTGAGTCTGGAGCTGCACGGCTTGATGAAAGACAGAGCAAAACCAACTCCTGTGAGTTTGTCTCCTTCGCACGGACTCACGCAGCGTGCTAACCGCTGCACCACCACTCCCCTTCGCACGGACTAACGCAGCGCGCTAACCGCTGCCCCACCACTCCCCTTCGCACGGACTAACGCAGCGTGCTAACCGCTGCCCCACCACTCCCCTTCGCACGGACTAACGCAGCGTGCTAACCGCTGCCCCACCACTCCCCTTCGCACGGACTAACGCAGCGTGCTAACCGCTGCCCCACCACTCCCCTTCGCACGGACTAACGCAGCGTGCTAACCGCTGCACCACCACTCCCCTTCGCACTGACTAACGCAGCGTGCTAACCGCTGCCCCACCACTCCCCTTCGCACGGACTAACGCAGCGTGCTAACCGCTGCCCCACCACTCCCCTTGGCATGGACTAACGCAGCGTGCTAACCGCTGCCCCACCACTCCCCTTCGCACGGACTAACGCAGCGTGCTAACCGCTGCCCCACCACTCCCCTTCGCACGGACTAACGCAGCGTGCTAACCGCTGCCCCACCACTCCCCTTCGCACGGACTCACGCAGCGTGCTAACCGCTGCCCCACCACTCCCCTTGGCACGGACTCACGCAGCGTGCTAACCGCTGCACCACCACTCCCCTTGGCACGGACTAACGCAGCGTGCTAACCACTGCACCACCACTCCCCTTGGCACTAACGCAGCGTGCTAACCGCTGCACCACCACTCCCCTTCGCACTGACTAACGCAGCGTGCTAACCGCTGCACCACCACTCCCCTTCGCACTGACTAACGCAGCGCGCTAACCGCTGCCCCACCACTCCCCTTGGCACAGACTCACGCAGTGTGCTAACCACTGCCCCACCACTCCCCTTGGCACAGACTCACGCAGCGCGCTAACCACTGCACCACCACTCCCCTTGGCACAGACTAACGCAGCGTGCTAACCACTGCACCACCACTCCCCTTGGCACGGACTAACGCAGCGTGGTAACCGCTGCCCCACCACTCCCCTTGGCATGGACTCGCGCAGCGCGCTAACCACTGCACCACCACTCCCCTTGGCACTAACGCAGCGTGCTAACCGCTGCACCACCACTCCCCTTGGCACAGACTCACGCAGCGTGCTAACCGCTGCACCACCACTCCCCTTGGCACTAACGCAGCGTGCTAACCGCTGCACCACCACTCCCCTTGGCACTAACGCAGTGTGCTAACCGCTGCACCACCACTCCCCTTGGCACAGACTCACGCAGCGTGCTAACCGCTGCACCACCACTCCCCTTGGCACAGACTAACGCAGCGTGCTAACCGCAGCACCACCACTCCCCTTGGCACTAACGCAGCGTGCTAACCGCTGCACCACCACTCCCCTTGGCACGGACTAACGCAGCGTGCTAACCGCTGCACCACCACTCCCCTTGGCACGGACTAACGCAGCGTGCTAACCGCTGCACCACCACTCCCCTTGGCACTAACGCAGCGTGCTAACCGCTGCACCACCACTCCCCTTGGCACTAACGCAGCGTGCTAACCGCTGCACCACCACTCCCCTTGGCACTAACGCAGCATGCTAACCGCTGCACCACCACTCCCCTTGGCACTAACGCAGCGTGCTAACCGCTGCACCACCACTCCCCTTGGCACTAACGCAGCGTGCTAACCGCTGCACCACCACTCCCCTTGGCACTAACGCAGCGTGCTAACCGCTGCACCACCACTCCCCTTGGCACTAACGCAGCGTGCTAACCGCTGCACCACCACTCCCCTTGGCACTAACGCAGCGTGCTAACCGCTGCACCACCACTCCCCTTGGCACTAACGCAGCGTGCTAACCGCTGCACCACCACGTGTGTGCGTGTGTGCGTGTGTGTGTGTGCGTGTGTGTACACATGTGTGCGTGTGTGTGTGTGTGTGTGCGTGTACGTGTGTACGTGTGTGCGTGTACGCGTGTGTGTGTGTACGTGTGTGCGTGTACGCGTGTGTGCGTGTGTGCGTGTGTGCGTGTACGTGTGTGTGCGTGTGTGCGTGTGTGCGTGTACGCGTGTGTGCGTGTACGTGTGTGTGTGTGTACACGTGTGTGCGTGTGTGTGCGTGTACGTGCGTGTGTATGTGTGTGCGTGTACACGCGTGTGTGCGTGTGCGTGTACGTGTGTGTGTGTGTGCGTGCGTGTGTGTGTACACGTGTGTGTGTATTTGCAGGAGCAACGCCTGCTGATGGTGCTCAGCACTTGCCGATACCTCTCGCAGCACGGCCTGCACAGCCTGGGGCAGCTCATGGAGCGCCACGACCTTCCTGCCGTCGCCTCCGTGCTGCAGGTACTCAAGTCCTGCTGCTGCTGCTGCTGCTGCAGGTACTCAAGTCCTGCTGCTGCAGGTACTGCTGCGGGTACTGCTGCGGGTACTGCTGCAGGTGCTGTTGCAGGTGCTGCTGCAGGTGCTGCTGCAGGTGCTGCTGCAGGTGCTGCTGCAGGTACTGCTGCAGGTACTGCTGCAGGTGCTGTTGCAGGTACTGCTGCAGGTACTGTTGCAGGTACTGCTGCAGGTGCTGCTGCAGGTGCTGCTGCAGTTACTGCTGCAGGTACTGTTGCAGGTACTGTTGCAGGTACTGCTGCAGGTACTGCTGCAGGTACTGTTGCAGTTACTGTTGCAGGTACTGCTGCAGGTACTGTTGCAGGTACTGTTGCAGGTACTGCTGCAGGTACTGTTGCAGGTACTGTTGCAGGTACTGCTGTAGGTACTGCTGCAGGTAATGCTGCAGGTACTGCTGCAGGTACTGCTGCAGGTGCTGCTGCAGGTGCTGCTGCGGGTACTGCTGCGGGTACTGTTGCAGGTACTGCTGCAGGTACTGCTGTAGGCACTGCTGCAGGTACTGCTGCAGGTACTGCTGCAGGTACTGTTGCAGGTACTGCTGCAGGTACTGCTGCAGGTTCTGCTGCGGGTACTGTTGCAGGTACTGCTGCAGGTACTGCTGCAGGTACTGTTGCAGGTACTGTTGCAGGTACTGCTGCAGGTACTGTTGCAGGTACTGCTGCGGGTACTGCTGCGGGTACTGCTGCGGGTACTGTTGCAGGTACTGCTGTAGGTACTGCTGCAGGTACTGCTGCAGGTACTGTTGCAGGTACTGTTGCAGGTACTGCTGCGGGTACTGCTGCGGGTACTGTTGCGGGTACTGTTGCAGGTACTGCTGTAGGCACTGCTGCAGGTACTGCTGCAGGTACTGTTGCGGGTACTGCTGCGGGTACTGCTGCGGGTACTGCTGTGGGTACTGCTGCGGGTACTGCTGCGGGTACTGCTGCGGGTACTGCTGCGGGTGCTGCTGCAGGTACTGCTGCAGGTACTGCTGCAGGTACTGATGCGGGTACTGCTGCAGGTACTGTTGCAGGTACTGCTGCAGGTACTGCTGCGGGTACTGTGGTGTGTGTTCTGGCTCAGTGGTGTGTTTGACACGGCCATTATGAACCCCTTAAGAGAGACCCGGGAGTTGAAACAAAACAGATTTGACCAGGTAAGGGCCGCTGAGATGCGATGTAGCTGTTTATTCAGAAGCGAAACCTGGTCATCACAAATGATAGCTCAACCAAGTGTCTTGTCGTCATCATCGTGTGGACAGTAATAGCAGCAGTTAAATAAAGTCACGTAGAAGGGAAATAATAAAATAGCAAAAATAAAACATAATAAAAAATTCTCACGACGTTTCGGCCACAAAGCCTGTTCTTCACCTGAGGACGGCTACTTGCGTTGTGGCCGAAATGTCGTGAGAATTGTATTTTATTATGTTTTACTTTTATTGTTTTATTATTTCCCTTCTACGTGACTTTACCGAAAGAACCAAGAAGATGAATCCCTGCAGTCACGAAAGCTTTAAATCGAAATTTAGCAGTCAAATACTCGATATGCGTGACGTTGATGCTTCAAGTGGAGAGCAAAACCGGGAGGACCCAGAGACAAATCCACGCGACCATGGGGAGAGAGAGAGACTCGGACTCGGCAGGCGTTGTCAGGGTCGGGATCGAACCCACCACCTCCTGTACACCAGGCGAGGTAGTTAACATCTCCTAGCCACCGTGATGATGATGAGAGAGACACGCAAACTCCAAATATACAGCAGCAGGTATCAGGGTCGGGGTTGAACCCACGACCTCCTGCACACCAGGCGAGGTAGTCAACATCTCCTAGCCACCGTGTCGTCAGGCTCTGGATCGAACCCACGACCTCCTGCAGACCAGGCGAGGTAGTCAACATCTCCTAGCCACCGTGTCGCCAGGCTCTGGATCGAACCCACGACCTCCTGCAGACCAGGCGAGGAAGTCAACATCTCCTCGCCACGTGGTAACAACACATTCGACATTTCAAGATCCGCCGCAAGGGGACAGGGTCAATGCGAGAGACGGAGGTGGGTCGTTAATAAATAAATAAATATCTTCGTTCACGGAGCAGCGGTCACTTGAAGAGCCGCGGTTTTGGCGACCTCCTGGGACCGACTGGACAAAAAAAAACACGTCAAGAGCTTCACGGCTCATCGGATTCTTCCGTCTTAAAATGAAGATTTCTCGTTCTGACCTGGGGCCACGGGCCGAGTCGTCGGAGGCTCGTGTGAGGGGGCCCACTCCGAACACCCCGCAGGGACTCGCAAACAAGATGCCGAGACACATGCTGCATCATTAGAACTCCTTTGCCAGGACCAACGTATAATAATAATAGGGGTTTTTCCTATTTTTTCTGGCAACAAAACTGAAACTTTTTTCTACGAGGAATCATGTGTGCATTAACCACAATACTTGTGGTCAGAATGCAAAAAAAACACAAGTATTGTGGTTAATGCAGACATGATTCCTCGTCAAAAAAGGTTTAAATTTTGTTGCCAGAAAAAAATGGGAAAACCCTATTATTATTATTATACTTTGGTACAGTCTCCTGCTGGAGAGGCACAGAGAGAAGAACAAAGCTGTGCACGTGTCGTTCCTCGACCTTGAAAAGGCATTTGACAGGGTCCCCCACGACCTCATCTGGCACTCGCTTCGATCCGATGGAGTCCCTGAAATCTACGTGCATTGGGTGCAACTCCTATACAAGAACGTCACCAGTGCAGTCAGCTGTGCAGTGGGCATATCACCGCCATTTCCCATCAGCGTTGGAGTGCACCAAGGATCGGCCCTGTCACCACTCCTGTTTATCCTGTGCCTGGACACGATCACTGCCGACCTGCACACGCCCCTTCCATGGTCAATTCTCTACGCGGATGACGTCCTCCTCTCAGATGAAGAGAGAGGAGAAGTGGAAAGACAAACGCGCCTGTGGAAGGAACGTTTGGACGAAAACGGGATGAGGTTCAACATCAAAAAGACGGAGTATATGGAGTGTGGCCCCCAAACCGATGGCACCATCAGTATTGACGGAGAAGATCTGAAGAAAGTGACGGACTTTAAGTACCTGGGCTCCACCATCAGCTCAGATGGTAGCATCACGACTGATGTGAGGTCACGAGTCAATGCGGCGTGGATGAAATGGAGGCAAGTCACCAGAGTCCTCTGTGATCGGAAAATGCCGGATAGGCTGAAGGGAAAAATATACAAGACCATCGTCCGACCGGTGGCACTCTATGGATCCGAGTGCTGGCCAGCCACAACTGTACACGAACAAGCTCTCCACACCATGGAGATGAGGATGCTCAGATGGAGCCTCGGGCTCACTCGATGGGATCGTGTCATGAACGAAGACGTTCGGAAGCGACTTGGTGTGGCCCCCATTACGGACAAGATGCTTGAGGCAAGGCTTCGCTGGCACGGCCACGTGATGCGAAGTGAAGAGTCATCAGTGGCCAAGACTGCCGAGCGTATTGAGCCAGAGGGCCGCCGTCCACGCGGACGTCCGAAGAAGCGATGGATGGACCGAATAAAGGAAGACATGAAGACGGTCAACGCATCCCCTGAAGATGCCCTGGACCGAGCCAAATGGAGAAGACAATGCCGAAAAGCGGACCCTGCGCCACAGCGGGAACAACGCTAGGAAGAAGAAGGTACTGGCATAGAGGAGGTCTAATGATCTAGATGTCTCGGCATCTTGTTTGCCCTTGTTACTTTGATAGTGCATCGTCTCTGAACTGTACGCCTTGTGGCGTCCTCTGGTCTAGCACCAATTGATACGAGGCTCAAAAGAAAGCTGTCTCTGGTGTGGACCAATCAGTTTCAAGGGTACAATGTCAATACATTATCAGAGTGTGTGTTTTTTGTTTGCTTTTTGACCACAAGCATTGTGGTTAATGCATTAACATGATTCGTTTTGTTGTCAACAAAAAACAACTTTTCTCTGGCCTGGACTTTTGCAGCTGTTCTAGACTAATTTCAGGGTGCTGATTCCAAATCTGATCTTAGATTTTCTCCATCACATCTCATTTTTGTGCTATCGGCATACCCCATTTTCATTGATTTTACCCGAAATTAACTCTGTCACTTATGATTGCAAGTTGTTGCGAGTCAGTGACTGCTTTAGTGGTAAAATATGGTGCTGTGTTTTTAGGATAGTGTGTTTATAATATCATTTTATGTAGATGTCCACATTTATTTAATATTTTTCTTCTGCAGTTTTTATTGAAAATGCAATATTTGATATCTCAAAAACCTGATGTGATAGACAAAAACTGATGCCATATTTGGAATTACCTTACATCCGTTGGAATACCTTATGCCAGAAGAAGTGTGTTGACCAGTGTTATTATTATAAGATGCCGAGCTCGCTCTGTCCGCTAGGGGGCAGTGCAGGACTAGCTATTGACTCTCACAGAGATCACCTAAAACTGTAACACAATCTATGTTTCGATTTAAAGCTTTCGTGACTGCAGGGATTCATCTTCTTGGTTCTTTCGGTAAAGTCACGTTGAAGGAAAATAATAAAATAATAAAAATAAAACATAAAATACAATTCTCACGACGTTTCGGCCACAACGCAAGCAGCCGTCCTCAGGTGAAGAACAGGTCTGTCGAGAAGACAAAGTCTGCTTGCGTTGTGGCCGAAACGTCGTGAGAATTATTATGTTTTATTTTTATTATTTTATTATTTTCCTTCTACGTGACTTTACCGAAAGAACCAAGAAGAACATTCTATGTGTTGTTTACACGCTTTTATTTAACTCACTCCGTCTGTTGCCGTGTCCTCAAAAAACCTTGTAACTCAATTTTAACCCACTTCCCAATGTGGCATCGACTGCACACTTGGTATACTTATGGCATACTGATGACAAAAGTATATTTTATCATACAACATCCAAAACGTATATTTTTAAACATTTTCCACGCTTTTATTTAACTCACACTGTCTGT